GTTTAAACATTAAAATAAATAGAATACAACTTATTTTGAAATCTAAAAGTTGTAAAACATCCACTGTTTAAAACAACATTGCAACAGAGATTGTGGTTATTCAGTTGCTTGCTTGCAGTACGAAAGTATAAATCACACTTTCAGAATGGAACAGCAACCCGGTGCAATACTAGGCTATATACGCTCGGCAGATGTTACAGTTTATTTCCTTTTTTACTTCTTGATGTTTAAAACAACATTGAATTACATCGACAAAAAAATTAAATAATAATAGACGTTTTAAATCAAGGAAATTAGTACAACCCTAAATTCGTTTCGGCATTGTACTCATATAAAGAGTCATATTTTACTCACGTTACAGTGTTCCTCTCTCCTCTCCTAGCCAAAAGCCAAACAAAAGTAATAAATGCGTTTTTCTAGTGTACAGCAGAGAATACTGCTTTCATCTGACGGCTCCCCGAAACCCCACTAGCTGTCTGACGGCTACCCGAAACCCCACCAGCTGTCGGAAAAATATTGCATTTTATATCAGCAAACCACGATTAATATTGCATCACCTGCATTTAGAATTTCGTTTTTCTAAAAGGCAGTGGGAAAGTGGAGCCTTCCAAATATATCCTCCAATATCGTGTGGTAGAAATATTCGAAGAGAGGACAGGGTCAAGTCTTTTGGTCAATGTGAATAAACACAGCATCAGTTAAAATTGTTGTTGTTGTTTTTTCTTTCGCTTTTTGATGTTAGTCAGATCCGCCATATTACTACGGTTATTTTTGAATTATTCCGACACTGCTCGGAGACTCGTGCGGTTCTCTGGCTTCATTAAATGTGTATTGTCACTTCTTCTTCTTCACTGCGGTAGAAAAAAGAAGGCATCTCGTTGATCTGCGAGGAGATCTCTGGTTCAGATGTTGCTTTAGAAACGTAATGCTACATTTAACAATGGCTTATTATTTACCCCATATGTAACTCTTGTGTTGTTGTTTTTTTTTTTTTATCGCACTGCTTTGCTTTATCTTGCAGGTCGCAGTTGTAAGTGAGAACTTGTTCTCAACTGGCTTACCTGGTTAAATAAAGGTGAAATAAATACATGTAAAAAAAATGTGGCCTTTAACACGTAGGGAACTTGATCCACCTCGTCTGAAGACAAACCATGTTTTTGTTTTTTTATCCAGTAACCTATCATATAAATATAATTGATTTGATTTGGATAGGATAGGCCTACATAAGTGAATGAACATATGTTAAACACTACAGAAACATGTTATCAATTATTAGGTTAATTTATTGATCCCATTTATTTACATATTACCAAAATGTGGTTAAAGACGTGTGTGTGTTAAGTCTACGGGCCAGATCTACATTAAAGAGCTCTGATGATAATTACTCACGTTTTTAATTAGAGTCTCGTTGTACTCCGCTTATTAATTTTTTCAATTCTCAGTTCATGAATTATTTAAGGTACCCAATTGTGTGTATTTCAATTAACTGGTATCTTGTGGTGTGAAATATGAATTTTAATCATTTATTACAGTATTATCATGTCGGCTATTAGTATCATTATTATTATTAGTAGTAGTATAATTATTATTATTAGTAGAAGTATCATTATTATTATCATTATTATTATTAGATTATTATTATTATTAGATTATTATTATTCGACTAATATTATTATTATTATGTTATTACTGTGATTTACACCAATGACATAGTTCCTTCTTAAAAATGTATCCAAAAATAATGTATGATTTAAAACAAATATTATCTTGTGCGGATTCCATTTGATTGTAACAGACAAATCAATACCATATGATGTAGAATGACGTGAAAAAAAGATTCAGCTAGTGTGGAGCGGTACTGTGTAGTAGATCTGATGCTTAACTGAGCTCCGGGACTCAGACAGACAACAAGGAGGCGGTTATATCAAATATTAATACACAGACCTCCATGTTGGAAAATAGAGAAACAGACCTATACACTAGTCTACACTACACTACACCATGAAGCAGATTGGAGTAAGTAGATAGATTCACTGTAAACACCAGCGGCTGGGCCTCCGGAACACATAACAACCTTTCTGTAACCCCTTTTTAAACCCGTCACATGTTCCATGGTTTGCCAGTATAGTCCTTGGTTGGTGATGGTTGGCATAGTGACAGACGCTACAGTAATCGTTGTATTACAGTGCTGATGATACCGATATCCATTAGAGATTATGACGGTGGGGTAGTTTATCATTGGGCTAATCATCACCATGTTCAATTCTTCTGGTGTCAAATTCGGTCCAACTTTTGACTGGGTGAAATGGATTGTGTTGAACTCATAAGATAGAAGCGTGTCTTTCTCTTGTGGGGCCATCTGTCCTGTCTGTTTCGTTTTGAAATGACAGGAAACCAATAGGTATAACATTATATGTCGCCTATAACTTTTCTATTGAACGGCCAGTATGACTTAGAATGTTGTCAGTTGAGTTCACTCTGTAAACTTTAAATTGTCAAGCTGGTTGGACATAGTATGTCAAACATAGGCACATGTCACATCTGGTCTAAAAATCAGTGGATGCGTTATGAACTATCAGTGGATGCGTTATGAACCATCATTGGATGCGTTATGAACTATCATTGGATGCGTTATGAACTATCATTGGATGCGTTATGAACTATCATTGCATGCACAGACAGATGACACAGCAAGAATCTGCTTTCTTCATTTGTAAAATGATTTTTCTTTGTTTTGTTTTTGTTAATAGTTTCTAACAATGGATGAGAGAGAGGTCTATTTTATGTGATAGGCCTATAGGAGGAGAAGTATGACAAATAATAGGACTAGTACTTCTACTACTACTAATACTACTACTACTACTACTACTACTACTACCACTACTACTACTACTACTACTACTGCTACTACTACTACTACTACTACTGCTACCACTACTACTGCTACCACTACTACTGCTACTACTACTACTACCACTACTACTACTACTGCTACTACTACTACTACTACTGCTACTGCTACTATTACTACTACTACCTACTACTACTACTACTACTACTACTACCACTACTACTACTACTACTACTACTACTACTGCTACCACTACTACTACTACTACTACTACTACTACTATTACTACTACTACTACCACTACTACTACTACTACTACTATTACTACTACTACTACTACTACTACTACTACTACTGCTACTTCTACTGCTACTACTACTATTACTACTGCTACAAGACCTACTAATACTAGTGGTGGTAATAATAATAATAATAATAAAAATAATAATAATAATAGTAAAACTAATAATAATAATAATAAAACATGTAAATGATCATAGTAAAGATGTAGGCCTAATCATAATCATATAAATACACTCAAAACAAAATGTTTTCTCTTTCTTTCTTTCGTTCATTTATTTAGAAGATAGCTGCATGGGACACACTTCCCTGTTGGATTTGGCTTTACAGGATGAGTAGAATACCAATGGAAAGAAGTAGACAACAGAAGAACAGAGAGAGGAAGGAAGGAGGGAAGGGAGGGAGGGAGGGAGGGAGGAGGGAGGAAGGAAGGGAAGGAAGGAAAGGAGGAAGGAAGGAAGGAAGGAAGGGAGGGAGGAAGGAAGGAAGGAAGGAAGGAAGTAAATAGGGAAGGAAGGAGGGACGGAGGGAAGGAAGGAAGGAAGGAAGGAAGGAAGGAAGGAAGGAAGGAAGGAAGGAAGGAAGGAAGGAAGGAAGGAAGGAAGGAAGGAAGGAAGGAAGGAAGGAAGGAAGGAAGGAAGGAAGGAAGGAAGGAATTCGTCAAACGTCAGCGACAGGAGGACACGTGGGACATTTCATTATGCACGCACGTGTGGCCGTCGCAGTTTGTAAACATACTTGTGCACAAGTAAAATCTTACTCACACGCAAAGTTATTTTTTGAACAATTAACACGAGAAACAACGTTGTGTCTTAATGTGAAAAACAGGCATTAACAGTGACATAGTTCCACCTTCCACACAGCTCTACCAGTAGATACTTTATGTAGTGTTTTTATCCAATGCATAGAATGTTTGCACTGCAAAACAAAGTACACAAAAGAAAATGTGATATTTTTTTCATTGTGATCATTCTTTTCCCCCCAGAATGTAATAGTCAAGTATACGTCTGAATCATGCGAGTTAATGTTTTTGATCTTGACGGGGGTTTTTCGTTGTGAAAAAAAGCCAATAGCAAAATACTTTATCTTTGAAAACTCGGGACTGAGTTGTAGTGAGAAAGTGATGTTTGTAATATATATATATATATATATTACAAACATCACTACATACATTTGGACATAATAATAACCAATATAAACAAACCAAATTACTGCTTAAATGTTAGTGCAAATTTAAAATAAATATGTGATAATTTAATAGCCTTTACTTTCACATTCAGAAGCGAAAGGACGGTTCTCTCATTCAGGCCTCTGCAATATTGGGTTTCTTGTTTTTATGAAGTTTGCTAAATTATTTTAAAAACAGAGTTCACAGCAGCCCCCAAATGTTATCACAAATAAATACAGAAATCAATACATAAATAAATAATTGTATATAAGCTTATTATAAATTAACCAAACAAAATAGAGTTCAACAATGAGGTAATTCGTAAATGGCTATATAATATTTCAAATCAAATAACTCGCTAAAGCAAAATAAACTTTTTTTTTTCCCCACAATGTTTTTAAAAAGGCAAAGTTGATATCGGTAATAGATAGTTTCCTCTCAGAACCACTGCGCGAGTTTCGTCTCGAGGATTTTCAGATATTTGCATACTTCACATTCACCAATAACGTGAAAATAAACTAGAACAGAGATATGAAGCTTCATAAAATGTGCGTAGTATTTAATGGTCATTGTTTTTTTGCACCCAAGTTTTAAAACCGTTGGCGACAAAAGAAGACCTTGGTCCCCAAATTCAGTCTCTCAACATTTTTTTCTTGTTTTTAACCCATCAACAGCCTATAGTCAGTGACAAGCGGAGAATTTTAACCGTTTCTGTTTTTGTCTTTGGTTGCAAAACCATACTCGAACCACGTTCTTTTTCAGGTCCAACTTTTCAGCGATAGCCGCTATCTTCTCGGACGACGGGCGAGGTTGTACGGCGAAGTACGCCTCCAACGACCTCTTTTCCGGTGCCGCTATCGACGTTCTCTTCCGTTTCTTTTCCCCTCCGCTATAAATGTCCGGTTTGTTGAGTTTCTCTCTCTGCGCGCCCTCGGCCTCCTCGAGCCACGCCTGAAGGATGGGTTTGAGCGCTATCATGTTGTTATGGGACAGAGTCAACGATTCGAACCGACAAATGGTGCTTTGGCTTAGCGATCCCACGCCGGGTATCTTCAGGTTAACCAGCGCATTGCCAACGTCCGCCTGGGTCACCCCCAGCTTGATCCGCCTCTGCTTGAAGCGCTCCGCGAACGCCTCTAACTCCCTGGGGTCCGTGTCCGAGTCATTTATAGAGGAAAGCCCGTTGTTATTGAGTCCTGGCCCGCCCTGGCCCCCTCCGTGGTGGCCAGGTAAAAGACCGTGGTGGGTGAGAGGGGAATTCATGTTCATGGCGGCCTGGTGAGAGAGGTGGCTCAAGCCATGCATGTGTGAGTGAGGGTGGGCAGAGGTGGAGATCAGCCCGCCACCACCTCCTCCACCCCCGCCCCCGGAGCCGTCGTGGCTGGACATGAGCGCTAAGGACGGGGAGTTGATGTGGTCCATGAGGTCCGGGGGTTCCATGTTGGGGTGGTGGTGGTGGTGGTGATGGTGGTGGTGGTGGGCCAGTGGCACCGTGGAGTTGGAGGCGCATGGCACGCTGTTCATGGTGTGGTAGGTGGCGTCCGGCTTGAAAGGGTGCGTCTTGCCCTGGGACACTGCGATGTCCACGGCCGCCAGAGCTTCGGCGCGGGCCAGGAGGGTCTCATCCAGGCTGGCGAATATGTTACTCTGCAGCTGCAATGGAGAGGAGATACGGAGAGAGGGAAGGGAGATGAGGGAACAGAAACAAAGCAATGCGGAAAGAGAAAGAACAAGCACATGATGAATAAGTGGATATGTCAGCTGTGGGACTTCTGACAACACATAAAAACACGAAGAATATTCCTTTTAGAAGACTGTCACCGAGTCATAAAAAAAAAGTCGGTAGCTTTTGTATTCGGCATGGCTTTCAAAAAAGATCACAGGCGTTCGGGTGATTGCCGTGGAAACACATGTTAGAAGAAGAAGAAGAAGAAGAAAAACATTAAGGCGCAAGCAGTTGGCTTTGGCAGGATGTGCCTCGGAGCGTTCCTTCCTTATTATTGCACTCGCGCAGTTACAGTAACACGAACACTTCCAGCATGCAGAAGCCCGGGCACAGAAAGAGCATAGATAGGAAAGGGAAGACACAAAGCAGAAGTTTGGGTTTCATTTACCTGTGGAGCTTGCAGACAGGCTCTTCTTATCGCTTCCGAGCTGGAATGCAGAGTGGTGTATTTGTGCTCAGGTAAACTCGGATGCATGGCGAAGTGTGGCTGTTTGCTATTCATTGACATCATCTTTGCAACTGCTTCTCTTTCAAAAAAATGCTTTTTAAGTGAAGAATAGGGTCTACAAATGGACGAGATGGAAAGCTGTAGTAGCCTAAGACAGTGGTCCCGTAACGATGCAATAGTTTGACGGTGTTGAGTACAACCGGATCAGCCCTGAGCACGAAAAGATCACCGTCAGAGATGCCTGCAGTCTCCCAAGGCCGACGCACTTATCTGTCGTCTGCTGTTCCCACTGGCTGCCGACAGGGATGAGAGAAGGGCTCTTACACCTGAATGTCTCAACTCTCGTCAAGCGGAGCTCGGCTTCTCTCGCGAGACATGGTGCATGAACAGTGCAGCCAGCCAGCCAGCCAGCCTGCCTTTCAAGATAATAAGCGAACAGCTTCAAGCTGTAGCGGTTAACTGGAGAGGAGGAAAGGAGCCCGGCGCCGGCGCGTGCGTTTTAATACAGGTCTCTCAGCCTCGGCACCACTCCAGCCACGAGCCCGGACAAGCACGGGGTTCGAACACCTGTAGCTCGAGCTTGGATGTTTTGATTCATTTCAATGCCTGATATTTGGTTATTTATGCTGTTGTTCATAGGAATTCACATCCATTTTTTTTGGTTGTTGCAATATTCACTGTTATCTTTTTGGCAGACAACTGATGTAGGTATCCCTTAAGACCATGAATCCTATTTTGATTCCTTAAAAAAAATATTTATTTAAAAGGAAAAACAATGCAAAGTTGAAATTGAATAAAACGGTGAATATGGCAATAAAATGGGGCTAGGCCGAAATGGTAGCATAGGCCTGTAGCCTAGTCATTATGCACATAAATGATTTGATATAGTGTTGAAGCATTTGTCCAAACGGCCTAATCAAGATTGTATGGGAAAGGAGACCACCACAGTCACTTAATTTATTAACCCAATATTGAATTGATATGAGCAGAAGGGTTGTAATTAGAGTAAGGTTATTATCAAACAATACAACACGGAACAGGAGGAATATCTCGGGACTCCCTCGGGATTGCAACTCTCTTAAATGCAGGCAGAGAGAGACAGAGAGAGAGACAGAGAGGAGACAGAGAAGACAGAGAGAGAGACAGAGAGACAGAGAGAGAGACAGAGAGACAGACAGACAGACAGACAGACAGACAGACAGACAGACAGAACAGACGAAAGAGAGAGAGAACAGAGACAGAGACAGAGAGAGACAGAGAGAGAGAGAGACAGAGAGACAGAGAGACAGAGAGACAGAGAGAGGAGAGAGGGAGAGAGAGAGAGGGGGTGAGAGACGGAGAGAGAGACAGAGAGAGACAGAGAGAGAGAGACAGAGAGAGAGAGAGAGAGAGAGACAGAGAGAGGAGACAGAGAGAGAGAGAGAGAGAGAGAGAGAGAGAGAGAGAGAGAGAGAGAGAGAGAGAGAGAGAGGCCAGTCTGCACTCTGACTTCACTGGGCGACATAGCCGAAATATTTCAATAGCAAATTCTTGGTGCATGAACAGTGCAGCCAGTTTAATTATAGCCCAAATGAATATGATGCGTCAAGTTCATATGAATTAGGCTGTGCTTTTACGCACTCTGAATTGATATCTATAGCCAGAGATTTTATTCCAAACAAAATATGTTATCTCAGCATTCAAGCTAAATAGAAAAAATCTAATGACGTTTTTTTGTGACCAGCTCTAAACTTCAGCAGTTACCCAAAAATGTAGTCGCAGCATATCGAAAGTGGGCCTAAATTTACATTTGCATTTTAGTCATTTAGCAGACGCTCTAATCCAGAGCAATTTACAGTTAGGTGAGTGCATACATTTTTCTTTTTTTTCTTCATATATCCAACATTGAATGACCACATGAGAATTGGTGCATCTAAAATGGCCCCTATTCCCGCCCTACACAGCGCCCATGGTGCTCTGGTCTGATCCCACTATAGAGGGATGAGAGTGCCTTTTCGGACGCAAAGAATGAGCAGCTAATTTCCTGATGTAATACCATTGGCACACTGGCCTATATGTGTTCTCCTGTTCTCTCATATTAACCCCTAGACAACATGATAGCCCGCACCCCCCCACCCCACCTTCAATCATTCCACCCCATCATCACCACTCGCCAGATGAGCGCTAAACAAATTGATTTAATATCACCACCGTAACCTTGTACACAGTCTTTAAGAAATTAATGAATCCCAATGAATTAACACTTCATTTATTCAAACGACCTGCAGAACGGTTGAGCCCAATTACATTTTCCTGCCATGATTAGAGGTAGGCTATGCGTAATCTACATGAAAACCGTAACATTTGCATAATAAATAAAAAAGGGTCTGGTGCCACACTTGGAAGCTAAGGGAGGCTCGGGCGCGTGGGAGGTCTTTGTAGTAGTGTAGTCTTATGTGTTCTGGTCCGTTACCATGTAGTTACCGTTAGCCTGGTCCGTTACCATATAGTTACCGTTAGGTCTAGTAGCCTGGTCTGTTACCATATAGTTACCATTAGGTCTAGTAGCCTGGTCCGTTACCATATAGTTACCGTTAGGTCTAGTAGCCTGGTCCGTTACCATATAGTTACCGTTAGGTCTAGTAGCCTGGTCCGTTACCATGTAGTTACCGTTAGGTCTAGTAGCCTGGCCCGTTACCATGTAGTTACCGTTAGGTCTAGTAGCCTGGCCCGTTACCATATAGTTACCGTTAGCCTGGTCCGTTACCATATAGTGACCGTTAGGTCTAGTAGCCTGGTCCGTTACCATGTAGTTACCGTTAGGTCTAGTAGCCTGGTCCGTTACCATGTAGTTACCGTTAGGTCTAGTAGCCTGGTCCGTTACCATATAGTTACCGTTAGCCTGGCCCGTTACCATATAGTTACCGTTAGCCTGGTCCGTTACCATATAGTTACCGTTAGGTCTAGTAGCCTGGTCCGTTACCATGTAGTTACCGTTAGCCTGGCCCGTTACCATATAGTTACCGTTAGGTCTAGTAGCCTGGCCCGTTACCATGTAGTTACCGTTAGGTCTAGTAGCCTGGTCCGTTACCATATAGTTACCGTTAGGTCTAGTAGCCTGGTCCGTTACCATGTAGTTACCGTTAGCCTGGCCCGTTACCATGTAGTTACCGTTAGGTCTAGTAGCCTGGTCCGTTACCATGTAGTTACCGTTAGGTCTAGTAGCCTGGTCCGTTACCATGTAGTTACCGTTAGGTCTAGTAGCCTGGTCCGTTACCATATAGTTACCGTTAGGTCTAGTAGCCTGGTCCGTTACCATGTAGTTACCGTTAGGTCTAGTAGCCTGGTCCGTTACCATATAGTTACCGTTAGGTCTAGTAGCCTGGTCCGTTACCATGTAGTTACCGTTAGGTCTAGTAGCCTGGTCCGTTACCATATAGTTACCGTTAGGTCTAGTAGCCTGGCCCGTTACCATATAGTTACCGTTAGGTCTAGTAGCCTGGTCCGTTACCATATAGTTACCGTTAGGTCTAGTAGCCTGGCCCGTTACCATATAGTTACCGTTAGGTCTAGTAGCCTGGTCCGTTACCATATAGTTACCGTTAGGTCTAGTAGCCTGGCCCGTTACCATGTAGTTACCGTTAGGTCTAGTAGCCTGGTCCGTTACCATATAGTTACCGTTAGGTCTAGTAGCCTGGTCCGTTACCATGTAGTTACCGTTAGGTCTAGTAGCCTGGTCCGTTACCATATAGTTACCGTTAGGTCTAGTAGCCTGGTCCGTTACCATGTAGTTACCGTTAGGTCTAGTAGCCTGGTCCGTTACCATATAGTTACCGTTAGGTCTAGTAGCCTGGCCCGTTACCATATAGTTACCGTTAGGTCTAGTAGCCTGGTCCGTTACCATATAGTTACCGTTAGGTCTAGTAGCCTGGCCCGTTACCATATAGTTACCGTTAGCCTGGTCCGTTACCATATAGTTACCGTTAGGTCTAGTAGCCTGGCCCGTTACCATATAGTTACCTTTAGGTCTAGTAGCCTGGCCCGTTACCATGTAGTTACCGTTAGCCTGGTCCGTTACCATATAGTTACCGTTAGGTCTAGTAGCCTGGTCCGTTACCATGTAGTTACCGTTAGGTCTAGTAGCCTGGCCCGTTACCATATAGTTACCGTTAGGTCTAGTAGCCTGGCCCGTTACCATATAGTTACCGTTAGGTCTAGTAGCCTGGCCCGTTACCATATAGTTACCGTTAGGTCTAGTAGCCTGGTCCGTTACCATGTAGTTACCGTTAGGTCTAGTAGCCTGGTCCGTTACCATATAGTTACCGTTAGGTCTAGTAGCCTGGCCCGTTACCATATAGTTACCGTTAGGTCTAGTAGCCTGGTCCGTTACCATGTAGTTACCGTTAGGTCTAGTAGCCTGGTCCGTTACATTATAGTTACCGTTAGCCTGGTCCGTTACCATATAGTTACCGTTAGGTCTAGTAGCCTGGTCCGTTACCATGTAGTTACCGTTAGGTCTAGTAGCCTGGTCCGTTACCATGTAGTTACCGTTAGCCTGGTCCGTTACCATATAGTTACCGTTAGGTCTAGTAGCCTGGTCCGTTACCATGTAGTTACCATTAGGTCTAGTAGCCTGGTCCGTTACCATGTAGTTACCGTTAGGTCTAGTAGCCTGGTCCGTTACCATATAGTTACCGTTAGGTCTAGTAGCCTGGTCCGTTACCATGTAGTTACCGTTAGGTCTAGTAGCCTGGTCCGTTACCATGTAGTTACCGTTAGCCTGGTCCGTTACCATATAGTTACCGTTAGGTCTAGTAGCCTGGTCCGTTACCATGTAGTTACCGTTAGGTCTAGTAGCCTGGTCCGTTACCATATAGTTACCGTTAGGTCTAGTAGCCTGGTCCGTTACCATGTAGTTACCGTTAGGTCTAGTAGCCTGGTCCGTTACCATGTAGTTACCGTTAGGTCTAGTAGCCTGGCCCGTTACCATATAGTTACCGTTAGGTCTAGTAGCCTGGTCCGTTACCATATAGTTACCGTTAGGTCTAGTATTCTGGTCCGTTACCATGTAGTTACCGTTAGGTCTAGTAGCCTGGTCCGTTACCATATAGTTACCGTTAGGTCTAGTAGCCTGGGCCGTTACCATATAGTTACCGTTAGGTCTAGTAGCCTGGTCCGTTACCATATAGTTACCGTTAGGTCTAGTAGCCTGGCCCGTTACCATGTAGTTACCGTTAGGTCTAGTAGCCTGGCCCGTTACCATGTAGTTACCGTTAGGTCTAGTAGCCTGGTCCGTTACCATGTAGTTACCGTTAGGTCTAGTAGCCTGGTCCGTTACCATGTAGTTACCGTTAGGTCTAGTAGCCTGGTCCGTTACCATATAGTTACCGTTAGGTCTAGTAGCCTGGCCCGTTACCATATAGTTACCGTTAGCCTGGTCCGTTACCATGTAGTTACCGTTAGGTCTAGTAGCCTGGTCCGTTACCATATAGTTACCGTTAGGTCTAGTAGCCTGGTCCGTTACCATATAGTTACCGTTAGCCTGGTCCGTTACCATGTAGTTACCGTTAGCCTGGTCCGTTACCATATAGTTACCGTTAGGTCTAGTAGCCTGGCCCGTTACCATGTAGTTACCGTTAGCCTGGTCCGTTACCATGTAGTTACCGTTAGGTCTAGTAGCCTGGCCCGTTACCATATAGTTACCGTTAGCCTGGTCCGTTACCATATAGTTACCGTTAGCCTGGTCCGTTACCATGTAGTTACCGTTAGGTCTAGTAGCCTGGCCCGTTACCATATAGTTACCGTTAGCCTGGTCCGTTACCATATAGTTACCGTTAGGTCTAGTAGCCTGGCCCGTTACCATGTAGTTACCGTTAGCCTGGTCCGTTACCATGTAGTTACCGTTAGGTCTAGTAGCCTGGCCCGTTACCATATAGTTACCGTTAGCCTGGTCCGTTACCATATAGTTACCGTTAGGTCTAGTACCCTGGTCCGTTACCATGTAGTTACCGTTAGCCTGGCCCGTTACCATATAGTTACCGTTAGCCTGGTCCGTTACCATATAGTTACCGTTAGGTCTAGTAGCCTGGCCCGTTACCATGTAGTTACCGTTAGGTCTAGTACCCTGGTCCGTTACCATGTAGTTACCGTTAGGTCTAGTAGCCTGGTCCGTTACCATGTAGTTACCGTTAGGTCTAGTAGCCTGGTCCGTTACCATGTAGTTACCGTTAGGTCTAGTAGCCTGGTCCGTTACCATGTAGTTACCGTTAGCCTGGCCCGTTACCATATAGTTACCGTTAGGTCTAGTAGCCTGGTCCGTTACCATGTAGTTACCGTTAGGTCTAGTAGCCTGGCCCGTTACCATGTAGTTACCGTTAGGTCTAGTAGCCTGGCCCGTTACCATATAGTTACCGTTAGGTCTAGTAGCCTGGTCCGTTACCATGTAGTTACCGTTAGGTCTAGTAGCCTGGTCCGTTACCATGTAGTTACCGTTAGGTCTAGTAGCCTGGTCCGTTACCATGTAGTTACCGTTAGGTCTAGTAGCCTGGTCCGTTACCATGTAGTTACCGTTAGCCTGGTCCGTTACCATGTAGTTACCGTTAGGTCTAGTAGCCTGGCCCGTTACCATGTAGTTACCGTTAGGTCTAGTAGCCTGGGCCATTACCATATAGTTACCGTTAGCCTGGCCCGTTACCATATAGTTACCGTTAGCCTGGCCCGTTACCATGTAGTTACCGTTAGGTCTAGTAGCCTGGTCCGTTACCATATAGTTACCGTTAGCCTGGTCCGTTACCATGTAGTTACCGTTAGGTCTAGTAGCCTGGTCCGTTACCATGTAGTTACCGTTAGGTCTAGTAGCCTGGGCCATTACCATATAGATACCGTTAGCCTGGCCCGTTACCATGTAGTTACCGTTAGCCTGGCCCGTTACCATGTAGTTACCGTTAGGTCTAGTAGCCTGGGCCATTACCATATAGTTACCGTTAGCCTGGCCCGTTACCATATAGTTACCGTTAGCCTGGTCCGTTACCATATAGTTACCGTTAGCCTGGTCCGTTACCATGTAGTTACCGTTAGGTCTAGTAGCCTGGACCGTTACCATATAGTTACCGTTAGGTCTAGTAGCCTGGCCCGTTACCATATAGTTACCGTTAGCCTGGCCCGTTACCATGTAGTTACCGTTAGGTCTAGTAGCCTGGCCCGTTACCATATAGTTACCGTTAGCCTGGCCCGTTACCATATAGTTACCGTTAGCCTGGGCCATTACCATATAGTTACCGTTAGCCTGGCCCGTTACCATATAGTTACCGTTAGCCTGGGCCATTACCATATAGTTACCGTTAGCCTGGCCCGTTACCATATAGTTACCGTTAGCCTGGCCCGTTACCATATAGTTACCGTTAGCCTGGTCCGTTACCATATAGTTACCGTTAGGTCTAGTAGCCTGGTCCGTTACCATGTAGTTACCGTTAGGTCTAGTAGCCTGGTCCGTTACCATGTAGTTACCGTTAGGTCTAGTAGCCTGGTCCGTTACCATATAGTTACCGTTAGTTAACATGATGAGCTTTAGGGGATACAGGACGACATGATGAGCTTTAGGGGATACAGGACGACATGATGAGCTTTAGGGGATACAGGACGACATGATGAGCTTTAGGGGATACAGGACGACATGATGAGCTTTAGGGGATACAGGACGACATGATGAGCTTTAGGGGATACAGTACGACATGATGAGCTTTAGGGGATACAGGACGACATGATGAGCTTTAGGGGATACAGGACACCATGATGAGCTTTAGGGGATACAGGACGACATGATGAGCTTTAGGGGATACAGGACGACATGATGAGCTTTAGGGGATACAGGACGACATGATGAGCTTTAGGGGATACAGGACGACATGATGAGCTTTAGGGGATACAGGACGACATGATGAGCTTTAGGGGATACAGGACACCATGATGAGCTTTAGGGGATACAGGACGACATGATGAGCTTTAGGGGATACAGGACGACATGATGAGCTTTAGGGGATACAGGACGACATGATGAGCTTTAGGGGATACAGGACGACATGATGAGCTTTAGGGGATACAGGACGACATGATGAGCATTAGGGGATACAGGACGACATAGGTCGGCAGGTAGCTTAGTGGGTAAGAGCGTTGTGCCAGTAACCGAAAGGTTGCTGGTTCTAATCCCCGAGCCAACTACGTGAAAAATCTGTCGATGTGCCCTTGAGCAAGGCACTTAACCCTAATTGCTTCTGTAAGTCGCTCTGGATAAGAGCGTCTGCTAAATGACTAAAAAAAAATTAAAAAAAATTAAAAAAAAGAGCTTTAGGGGATACAGGACGACATGATGAGCTTTAGGGGATACAGGACGACATGATGAGCTTTAGGGGATACAGGACGACATGATGAACTTTAGGGGATACAGGGGGACATGATGAGCTTTAGGGGATACAGGGGGACATGATGAGCTTTAGGGGATACAGGGGGACATGATGAGCTTTAGGGGATACAGGACGACATGATGAGCTTTAGGGGATACAGGACGACATGATGAGCTTTAGGGGATACAGGACGACATGATGAGCTTTAGGGGATACAGGACGACATGATGAGCTTTAGGGGATACAGGACGACATGATGAGCTTTAGGGGATACAGGACGACATGATGAGCTTTAGGGGATACAGGACGACATGATGAGCTTTAGGGGATACAGGACGACATGATGAGCTTTAGGGGATACAGGACGACATGATGAGCTTTAGGGGATACATGACGACATGATGAGCTTTAGGGGATACAGGACGACATGATGAGCTTTAGGGGATACAGGACGACATGATGAGCTTTAGGGGATACAGGACGACATGATGAGCTTTAGGGGATACAGGACGACATGATGAGCTTTAGTGGATACAGGACGACATGATGAGCTTTAGGGGATACAGGAGGACATGAGGTAAATATAATATTGGTCGTTGCCTCACAGGAACTAAATGAGCCTGATAAGACTATCAACTTCGTAACTGAAAGTGATATATAGGCCTGTAGCCAGATAACATGAATAGTTCCAACAGCATGTAAAGTGATATAGAGGCCTGTAGCCAGATAACATGAATAGTTCCAACAGCATGTAAAGTGATATAGAGGCCTGTAGCAAGATAACATGAATAGTTCCAACAGCATGTAAAGTGATATATAGGCCTGTAGCCAGATAACATGAATAGTTCCAACAGCATGTAAAGTGATATAGAGGCCTGTAGCAAGATAACATGAATATTCTCAAACAATTAGTATTTATTATACCGTAAAGTTACGTTTTGTTAGTTGCAATAAAAATGCACGAAAGTTACTGAAAATACATTTTATTTTCAGAATAATTTGATGCCATTACACACACACACACACACACACACATGAGCAATAGTTTGTATGGAGCAGTTAGCATTAGCAATATAAGACTTGATGGAATCATTATGCCAAATGGCACCCTATTCCTTATATAATTAACTGCTTTTGTCCAGGGCCCGTAGGACTCTGGTCAAAAGTAGTGCACTACATAGGGAATAACATGCCATTTGGTAACATGCCACTAAGACACAGTAAAGAAGGGAGCCTGGTCCCAGATCTGTTTGTGCTATTCTGCCACGGCGTCATACCACACAATTCCATAAGGAGTTGGCTAGAGACCAGAAACAGACTGGTATCCAGGCTATATTAAAGAGACCAGAATGACTGGTATCCAGGCTATATTAAAGAGACCAGAATGACTGGTATCCAGGCTATATTAAAGAGACCAGAAACAGACTGGTACCCAGGCTATATTAGAGACCAGAAACAGACTGGTACCCAGGCTATATTAAAGACCAGAAACAGACTGGTACCCAGGCTATATTAAAGAGACCAGAAACAGACTGGTATCCAGGCTATATTAAAGAGATCAGAAACAGACTGACACCCAGGCTATATTAAAGAGAACAGAAACAGACTGGTATCCAGGCTATATTAAAGAGACCAGAAACAGACTGGTATCCAGGCTATATTAAAGAGACCAGAAACAGACTGGTATCCAGGCTATATTAAAGAGACCAGAAACAGACTGGTATCCAGGCTATATTAAAGAGACCAGAAACAGACTGGTAACCAGGCTATATTAAAGAGACCAGAAACAGACTGGTATCCAGGCTATATTAAAGAGACCAGAAACAGACTGGTATCCAGGCTATATTAAAGAGACCAGAAACAGACTGGTATCCAGGCTATATTAAAGAGACCAGAAACAGACTGGTATCCAGGCTATATTAAAGAGACCAGAAACAGACTGGTATCCAGGCTATATTAAAGAGAACAGAAACAGACTGGCACCCAGGCTATATTAAAGAGAACAGAAACAGACTGGCACCCAGGCTATATTAATAAAGAGAACAGAAACAGACTGGTACCCAGGCTATATTAATAAAGGAGACCAGAATGACTGGTATCCAGGCTATATTAAAGAGACCAGAATGACTAGTACCCAGGCTATATTAAAGAGACCAGAAACAGACTGGTATCCAGGCTATATTAAAGAGACCAGATACAGACTGGTATCCAGGCTATATTAAAGAGACCAGAAACAGACTGGTATCCAGGCTATATTAGAGACCAGAAACAGACTGGTACCCAGGCTATATTAAAGAGACCAGAAACAGACTGGTATCCAGGCTATATTAATAAAGGAGACCAGAATGACTGGTATCCAGGCTATATTAAAGAGACCAGAATGACTAGTACCCAGGCTATATTAAAGAGACCAGAAACAGACTGGTATCCAGGCTATATTAAAGAGACCAGATACAGACTGGTATCCAGGCTATATTAAAGAGACCAGAAACAGACTGGTATCCAGGCTATATTAGAGACCAGAAACAGACTGGTACCCAGGCTATATTAAAGAGACCAGAAACAGACTGGTATCCAGGCTATATTAAAGAGACCAGAAACAGACTGGTATCCAGGCTATATTAAAGAGACCAGAATGACTGGTATCCAGGCTATATTAAAGAGACCAGAAACAGACTGGTACCCAGGCTATATTAAAGAGACCAGAAACAGACTGGTATCCAGGCTATATTAAAGAGACCAGAAACAGACTGGTATCCAGGCTATATTAAAGAGACCAGAATGACTAGTACCCAGGCTATATTAAAGAGACCAGAAACAGACTGGTATCCAGGCTATATTAAAGAGACCAGATACAGACTGGTATCCAGGCTATATTAAAGAGACCAGAAACAGACTGGTATCCAGGCTATATTAAAGAGACCAGAATGACTGGTATCCAGGCTATATTAAAGAGACCAGAAACAGACTGGTACCCAGGCTATATTAAAGAGACCAGAAACAGACTGGTATTCAGGCTATATTAAAGAGACCAGAAACAGACTGGTATCCAGGCTATATTAAAGAGACCAGAATGACTGGTATCCAGGCTATATTAAAGAGACCAGAAACAGACTGGTACCCAGGCTATATTAAAGAGACCAGAAACAGACTGGTACCCAGGCTATATTAGAGAACAGAAACAGACTGGTATCCAGGCTATATTAAAGAGACCAGAAACAGACTGGTATCCAGGCTATATTAGAGAACAGAAACAGACTGGTATCCAGGCTATATTAAAGAGACCAGAAACAGACTGGTACCCAGGCTATATTAAAGAGACCAGAAACAGACTGGTACCCAGGCTATATTAGAGACCAGAAACAGACTGGTACCCAGGCTATATTAAAGAGACCAGAAACAGACTGGTATCCAGGCTATATTAAAGAGACCAGAAACAGACTGGTACCCAGGCTATATTAGAGAGACCAGAATGACTAGTACCCAGGCTATATTAAAGAGACCAGAAACAGACTGGTACCCAGGCTATATTAAAGAGACCAGAAACAGACTGGTATCCAGGCTATATTAAAGAGACTAGAAACAGACTGGTATCCAGGCTATATTAAAGAGACCAGAAACAGACTGGTACCCAGGCTATATTAAAGAGAACAGAAACAGACTGGTACCTAGGCTATATTAAAGAGACCAGAAACAGACTGGTATCAAGGCTATATTAAAGAGACCAGAAACAGACTGGTACCCAGGCTATATTAAAGAGACCAGAAACAGACAGGCACCCAGGCTATATTAAAGACCAGAAACAGACTGGTACCCAGGCTATATTAAAGAGACCAGAAACAGACAGGCACCCAGGCTATATTAGAGACCAGAAACAGACTGGTACCCAGGCTATATTAAAGAGACCAGAAACAGACTGGTACCCAGGCTATATTAAAGAGACCAGAAACAGACTGGTATCCAGGCTATATTAAAGAGACCAGAAACAGACAGGCACCCAGGCTATATTAGAGACCAGAAACAGACTGGTACCCAGGCTATATTAAAGAGATCAGAAACAGACTGGCACCCAGGCTATATTAATAAAGAGACCAGAATGACTGGTATCCAGGCTATATTAAAGAGATCAGAAACAGACTGGTATCCAGGCTATATTAAAGAGATCAGAAACAGACTGGTAATCCAGGCTATATTAGAGAACAGAAACAGACTGGTATCCAGGCTAGTCTACAGTGACGGGGTGCAGGGCCAAGTTTACTCCATCACAATCACATCAACTTAGAATGTTTGGAGGGACTGCCGATGTTAAAAGGACTGTGAGACTTCCGTTTGGCTGCCTGACTAGGAGCCGCTGTGTTCTTCTGTCTCACGGTGATCTCTCCAGAGCCGACTGCCGAGCAGCCGGAAGAGATGTCACTGTCCTCATCATGGTGGTCGGCTGAGGCCTGCCAGCCTGACGGCCCTCCTGGTCCTGTCTTGGTCTCCGTTGAGGGGTCAAACAGCAGGTCAAAGGACAGTTCATCAGTCTGAGAGGGGACAGAGAGGTGTCTGCGTCCTGTCTGTCCTCCAGCTGGCCCTGTAGAGTCTAGAAGATGGTGGCTGCTGCTGCTAACGTCTCTCCCAGAGGAGGACACGGACCCGGTTCCTGACGTTAACCCAGACTGGGCTGCTCCTGTCGTGGATGTGGATGCTGGAGCAGCCGCCTGGGTCTCTGACACTGTCACTGTAGCGGAAGAGGTTCCCTTTATGCTGCATGCCAAGTCTAAACCCTCACTCCTCCCCCTCTGGTTTAACGACGAGCTCCCCCGACCCTCAGCCTCGGTCTGTCCACCTCCCTCTCGGTCCTGGTCGGAGTCAGGACCCAGGAAGGATTCAGAGCATCCCTCCAGCTCAGGCACTAGGGTCGCGTCCAGTCTGAGGTCAAGGGTCAAGTCCGGTGAGTCGGCAGAACTCAGGGAGGAGGCCAGGGACAGGTGTGATCCTGAGGACAGGTGTGATCCTGCCGAACTGCGGCTGCTGCAGCTCTCGGGCCCCTCCAGCATCATAGAGTCCAGCTCAGAGATCTTATCCAGGTAGGCCGCGTCCATGGAGGCTTCGCTGGACATGGGGTCCGTCTCCTCATCTGGCAGATTCTGGGACGTGGTGGCTCCCACGGTTGGGTCTCTCTCGCTGTGCCCCGACCCCGATGATGTGTTGAGCTGCTGCTCTCCATTGTGATTGGGTGATGTCACAGAGGTCATATCAGAAGCCTTGTGGCTGTGCCAGGCTGCGGCCCAGAACACCGGCTTAGTGGTGGTGGTGGAGCCTCCTGGCTCGGCTACGTTACTGGAAGACACACCGTTGGAGAACTGAGCAGTGAGCCTGGACCGTTTAGTTCCTACACTGGAGGCACCGCTGCTGCTTGGTTCTACACCGTCCTCAAAACTGAGTCTCCTTAGATAGGTCACAGACTTCCAACCGAGCTTCTTGTCTTCACCAACACTGGGACCCTTCAGACTGAGGGAGCGGAAGGCAGAGGAGGGGGTGGAGGGGAGGAGGTGGTCAGAGGGAGCGATGGCGCCAACGCTATCAGTTTCTAGCGAGTCGTTGTGTCCAGCGAGCGTCACGCCCACGCCGAAACCTCTCCGGTGGTCCCGGAAGGTCTCGGAGCCGGCGCCGTTGAGCTCCGCGGCGTTAGAGGCCGCCAGGAGGTAGCTTTGGTGAGCGGACAGCGTCTTGGACTCTCCCTCCAGACTGGCGCAGATGGAGGCCTTCTCCACGTCACTCGGACTCCGCCTCGTGGCACTGATCCTCTGGTAGTGGACCCTGGTCCCGGCCTCACCCTCCCCAGAGGAGGTGCTCTCTGGACGGGCATCGGTGTGGCCCTGGGGGGGCTCAGCTCCCCGTCCACCGCGGGCCTCCAGTTCTTCTATGTACAGGTCGCTGCGCTCCAGAGCTCTCTTCAGGTGATCCACATCTCTTTCGTACTGATGGATCTTAGCTTCCAGCGCTGCTACGGTGTACCGGCCAAACCTGAGGGGGTGATTCAGATCAGAAAGAAAGAAGGGAGTTTGAATTGAATTTGATAGCATATAAATGACATTTTGCAGGGTAAAAACAATACATACATCAAACTAAATGTGCATTTGACACCACAGGATAAAAACTGTAAAGTATTAATTTAAACACTTATTTTCAAAGAGGTCCTGAGGTACAGAATATTACCATGAAGAACACCACAGGAGCACATTGCATTGAGGCAACAGGGAGCGCAAACAGTTGATCATATCAGTGTGATTACAGATGCATTTTAGTCCATCTCACCATTGATAAAAAGTCAGACATTTGTAGATTACTGTATCTGTAGACAGACACATACAAAATGGATGCCAGATCAAATATTTTAACTCTTGACCAAAACCCAATTTCTATAGAGAACCAGAATAGAAACAAATAGATTAGTCATAGTTTTTACCAACAATATTCCACCCAGTGGTCCATTACCATCACAGTTGAACTGAAACCACTCCAGAATATTCCACCCAGTGGTCCATTACTATCCCAGTTGAACTGAAACCACTCCAGAATATTCCACCCAGTGGTCCATTACCATCCCAGTTGAACTGAAACCACTCCAGAATATTCCACCCAGTGGTCCATTACCATCCCAGTTGAACTGAAACCACTCCAGAATATTCCACCCAGTGGTCCATTACCATCCCAGTTGAACTGAAACCACTCCAGAATATTCCACCCAGTGGTCCATTACTATCCCAGTTGAACTGAAACCACTCCAGAATATTCCACCCAGTGGTCCATTACCATCCCAGTTGAACTGAAACCACTCCAGAATATTCCACCCCAGTGGTCCATTACCATCCCAGTTTGAACTGAAACCACTCCAAGAATATTCCACCCAGTGGGTCCATTACCATCCCAGTTGAACTGAAACCACTCCAGAATATTCCACCCAGTGGTCCATTACGATCCCAGTTGAACTGAAACCACTCCAGAATATTCCACCCAGTGGTCCATTACCATCCCAGTTGAACTGAAACCACTCCAGAATATTCCACCCAGTGGGTCCATTACCATCCCAGTTGAACTGAAACCACTCCAGAATATTCCACCCAGTGGTCCATTAACCATCCCAGTTGAACTGAAACCACTCCAGAATATTCCACCCAGTGGTCCATTACTATCCCAGTTGAACTGAATCCACTCCAGAATATTCCACCCAGTGGTCCATTACTATCCCAGTTGAACTGAAACCACTCCAGAATATTCCACCCAGTGGTCCATTACCATCCCAGTTGAACTGAAACCACTCCAGAATATTCCACCCAGTGGTCCATTACTATCCCAGTTGAACTGAAACCACTCCAGAATACACACAACATTAAAACATAAGACTAGTACATACTTCTGAGGCGATCTGCTGGCAACCTCAGCTTTCAACCTCATGTTCTCCTGGACCAGGTCAATATTCTGAGACCGTAACATCTTGTTAGCCTTGAACAGAGGAACAGAACTTTTGTATTTAATATATTTTATTACATTCTGGACTGCACACATTTCACACATTGCTTGTCATTCACCTTTGTGTATTATGTCATGTTTGTATGCATGTGACATTGATCTGATGTTACCATAGTGACTGTGTCAAATTGCCAGTCGACGACCCCAATTAATGGATTAATTGACACTAAGAAACATTCCAATTATTGTTTCCCGTTGTTTTACGCAGTACGCAACAACACGTATAAAAAGAACATGAATGAATAGAAAATTATTTTCTGGGCGGGAAACGGTTTTTACATCATAACGAGTTTTCGGTGCAATAGCCTAATCCATAGACAGATCGTATTCATCAATACCTCTTTCAGTTTCTCCACGTCCAGTTTGATCTGGCTGTAGCCGTCTGTAGCAGCTCTCAGCTTGTTGCTCCATTCCTCCAGAACACTGGCGTCTACACCCCTGTTTTCTCTCTGGCCGGCTGTTATGGTACAGGGGTCTAGTGCCGTCTTCAGCCGGGACTCCATGCTCTGGTTCTTGTTCCTCAGCTCTTCGTTCTCTTTGAGGAGACCTTCCATTTCATCCTGAACGATAAGACAGGATGTCCACCATAGAATTACATATAGAAGTGACAGTGATTTTTAGAGGACGTCTCGTGTAGACCAAGGGTTCTCAAACTGGGGTGGGGTGTGCGGAATTATTTGGATTTTTTTTTTTTTATGAATATTACTAAACAACATATTTTAATAAATTTTGTCCAAAGGATACGTGGAATAAGTCTCATGGCAAAATGTCTAGAATTGCAGGATATTAGCATTAAAGCCACAACAACAAAATCTCTCTGCCCCATGATGAAATGTGTAGAATTGCAGGAAAAGAGCTAGAAAATTATCTCTCCGATGCCAAGAGGTGGGTTTTTTTGTTGTTGTAATGTTCCTTCCCATGAGCCTCGGATCGTCCGGCCGTGCACTGCCGAATTCATCGTAAAACTCCTTGCATGCTATTTTTTATCTCACTCGAATTTAAAAGGGGGTCCCTGATGAATTCACGATCACAAAAGGGGGTCCCCGGCCCCAAAAAGAGAAACCCTGAGTTAGTCCCCTGTAGCTCAGTTGGTAGAGCATGGCGCTTGCAACGCCAGGGTTGTGGGTTTCGATTCACACGGGGGGGCCAGTATGAAAAATGTATGCACTCACTAACTGTATGTCGCTCTGGATAAGAGCGTCAGCTAAAATGACTATAATGTCAAAATGTAGGCTTCTTTTCTGCTCTGACATGCACTGTCAACTGTGGGACCTTTATATAGACAGGTGTGTGCCTTTCCAAATCATGTCCAATCAATTGAATTTACCACCGGTGGACTCCAATCAAGTTGTAGAAACATCTCAAGGATGATCAATGGAAACAGGATGCACCTGAGCTCAATTTCGAGTCTCGTAGCAAAGGGTCTGAATACATATGTAAATAAGGTATATGTTTTTTAATAAATTAGCAAACATTTCTAAAAACCTGTTTTCGCTTTGTCATTATGGGTTATTGTGTGTAGATTGATGAGGGGGAAAATGTATTTAATCCATTTTAGAATAAGGCTGTGAAGGGGTCTGAATACTTTCCGAATGCACTGTATAACAAACTGCTAGAGGGGGAAACCGATGAAGGAGACACTCAGACTACAGTTTAATCGTGCAGCACATTTAGCTTACTTCATATTCCCTCAACAGAAGCTCTCCTCTGGTCTTTCGGAGGCGTTTCTTCACAGAATGGCTTTCGCTCTCATTCGTTCCTCCTAAAAACAACAACAGGACCACAGTAGGGAATCAGCTCGTTAACAAAGAATAGGAACTCTGCCGACCTTTAGCTACCGTAACATCAACAAAGTGCTGTACAGTAACCCAGCCTAGTCTAGACCCCAAACGGTAAGTAGTACAGCAACAGGAAGAAACAGTGCGAGTCCCCAGAAGGAACAAACAGTGCGAGTTACCAGACCCAGACTCGGCCCTTTCTCTTCGGATTATGCAGAGATAACCTGCTTGACATTTTGCAGTAGTTGGTAGGCTACCTTACCTATAATTTCTCTGCACGGGTTCTCTGAAGTGATGGGAACTCGGCATGAAGGACATTGACTAGCCTTCTTCAACCAGATGTCCATGCAGCAAGAACAGAACACGTGGTTGTTGGCACAGATGACAGGCTGGCGGACCTTGCAGATAGCAATGTTAAAAAGACAAATATTATTATGATCGATTGCAATAGAACTATCCGTGCAATGGTAGGCACTGACATATTGTGAGATGAATCAAGAATAGTTGACCAGCTACAGCTAATATCTGGAATTGTAAAGCCTTCCTACTAAATTGCACCAAGATGCTAGCTAGCTGGCTAAGCTAACAACACACGCTATCATCTGCAGCAGCCAACAAGAATTGGGCGATGCAATTAGTAAACAAATGTGTAGTTAACTAGCCATCCACTGACAAATATGAGTAGCTAAACGTTACAAGGTAAAACATCTACATCACTTGCTAAACGAATATTTACTAGGCAAGGAAGCTAACGTTAACTAAATTGGCTTATCAACAGCTAACTAGCTTAGCTAGCATTTTGTCTGCATACGTGATTGATTGCATTGGCTTTGTTCCAAAACTGAATTACCTTTCCAAGGCAGATCTGGCATGATATGGGTAAAGTTAGAGAAAGAGTCACGTTTTGAAAGTTGTTTGCCATTGTTTTGCTCAAGAGTTTCGGCGAGAAACTACAACAACAACAAAAAACTCCTCGGTCAAAAAGCACCGCCTTCAAAACGACACAACTACGGAAAGCCAAATGGTAGAAAATGTATCGTTGCTCTGTTTCGCGTTTCAAAGACAGCAAGACAAGATCACAGTTCAGGACCATAGACAGTACCTGGCAGACAACCTGTGCCTTTCAACCTCAGACGGGAAAGACATGGGAAATTGGCTTTTCATTAACATTTTCAACTTTTTAAAATACATTTTTAACAATATAACAGAATTATGGGGCGGCAGGTAGCTTAGTGGTTAAGAGCGTTGTGCCAGTAACCGAAAGGTCGCTGGTTCTAATCCCAGAGCCGACTAGGTGAAAAATCTGTCGATGTGCCCTTGAGCAAGGCACTTAACCCTAATTGCTCTGGATAAGAGTGTCTGCTAAAAATGAAATGAAAATTATTTTACAAAATCATTTCCCACTCTAAAGTCAAAAAAGCTGGTTAAACCTCTCTCCATCCAACCCCCAGAAATTGCAGTCTATACAGTAATGCCAATTGCAACAACAGATCCATAATGTTTTCAGATTGCAGAACACCATTCAGTGTAAACATAATACATAAACAGGACCCCATTTCAGATCAGATGCTCAGACAATGGACCTCCATAGACGTTAGAGGAATAACCTCTGATCAAATCAAATCTCCAATATAATGGTTAGTCTAGTATATCTCTACGCAATGGCCATTACTCATATCTAGACCTGTGTATCTCCATCGTTGTCCCATCTCAATGCTTCGCCTCCCAAATGGCACCCTATTTCCTACATAGTGCACTACTTTTGACCAGAGTCCATTTGGGGTCCCGGTCTAAAGTAGTGCACTATAAAGGGAATAGGGTGGCATTTTGGGACGCGTACAGAGCCAAACCCAGCCATCACAGCAGAGCTCTTTAGAAAGTAATGTCATTAGGATTGAATAAAAGCCAAACAAAGTGTGTACACTGATTCCCAGCCGGCAGAAACATGCTACTCGGAACGTAAGAACATAACCGCTCATCATTTGATTTTAAAAAGAGCTTTATGACTTCAACATGCCATCAAATCGATCTCACAGACGCAGCGAGCCCGGAGGCTACGGAAGAGATAAAACGTTATTCAGTTCAAAATACAGTCGACATTTATTCACATAGGCGACAGCTTGCATTAGGCCTATGCAGTTTGTAATCCTTATAACATATAACTCAGTCACAAGACCAACACAAAAAACACAATGTGCAACATAGGGCCTCCTCACCCTGTTTAAAGGCACAGTCAACTTATTGTATGTAAACTTCTGAACCACTGGAATTGTGATACAGCGAATTATAAGTGAAATAATCTGTCTGTAAACAATTGTTGGAAAAATTACTTGTTTCATACACAAAATAGATGTCCTAACCGACTTGCCAAAAACTATAGTTTGTTAACAAGAAAATTGTGGAGTGGTTGAAAAACAAGTTTTAATGACTCCAACCTAAGTGTATGTAAACTTCCGACTTTAAAGTATTATTTACATTTAGCAGACGCTCTTATCCAGAGCGATTTACAGGAGCAATTAGGGTTTTTCACTTAGTCGGCTCAGGGATTAGAACCAGCAACCTTTCAGTTACTGGCACAACGCTCTTACCCACTAAGCTACCTGATTATTGTACTGTTACTTTGAGATTCCAAAACAGGTCCCTTCCCAAAAACAAGGCCCACGTTCCTTCAGTCAGGGACCGCCAACCATGACAATGGTTTGTATAGTGGTTCAGTGATGGTAGGTTGGTTTGTAATTGTTCACTCATTAATGAATCACAGCAGGGAGCCACTCTGACATCTATTGATCTGGTCTGAAGCCTTATTCCTCATCCCTAAATGACACAGATCACCAGGGCCCAGTCCAGAATGGCACCCTATTCCCTATATGCTAAACTACTCTAGACCAGGGCCCTGTGGGGAAAAGGGTTCCATAAATAGGGAATAGGGTGTTATTTGGGAGGAAGGCCAGATCTGACTGGTGGAGGGGGTAATGGAGGATGAAGAAGCAATGACTCGTGTGTCAGGCTTGGGTAGGATCCGGCCGACCGGTCCTCTCTCCTTCCCCCTGCCCCTAGCTTCCCACTGCACCTACCTTCCCCCTGCCCCTACCTTCCCCCAGCCCCCTACCTTCCCCCAGCCCCTACCTTCCCCTAGCCCCCTACCTTCCCCCTGCCCATACCGTCCCCCAGCCCCTACCTTCCCCCAGCCCTTACCTTCCCCCTGTCCCCACCTTCCCCCAGCCCCTACCTTCCCCCAGCCCCTACCTTCCCCCAGCCCCTACCTTCCCCCAGCCCCCTACCTTCCCCCAGCCCCTACCTTCCCCCAGCCCCCTACCTTCCCCCTGCCCATACCGTCCCCCAGCCCCTACCTTCCCCCAGCCCTTACCTTCCCCCAGCCCCCTACCTTCCCCCAGCCCCTACCTTCCCCCAGCCCCCTACCTTCCCCCTGCCCATACCGTCCCCCAGCCCCCTACCTTCCCCCAGCCCCCTACCTTCCCCAGCCCTTACCTTCCCCCTGTCCCCACCTTCCCCCAGCCCCTACCTTCCCCCTGTCCCCACCTTCCCCCAGCCCCTACCTTCCCCCAGCCCCTACCTTCCCCCAGCCCCTAACTTCCCACTGTCCCCTACTTTCTCCCCCTGCCCCTACCTTCCCCTAGCCCCCTACCTTCCACAGCCCCCTACCTTCCCCCTGCCCCCACCTTCCCCCAGCCCCCTACCTTCCCCCTGCCCCCTACCTTCCCCCAGCCCCTACCTTCCCCTGCCCCCTACCTTCCCCCAGCCCCTACCGTCCCCCTGCCCCTACCTTCCCCCTGCCCCTACCTTCCCCTGCCCCCTACCTTCCCCCTGCCCCTACCTTCCCCAGCCCCTACCTTCCCACAGCCCCCTACCTCCCCAGCCCCCTACCTTCCCCCTGCCCCCTATCTTCCCCCAGCCCCCTACCTTCCCCCAGCCCCCTACCTTCCCTCTGCCCCTACCGTCCCCCTGCCCCTACCTTCCCCCAGCCCCTACCTTCCCCATGTCCCTACCTTCCCCCAGCCCCCTACCTTCCCCTGCCCCCTACCTTCCCCCAGCCCCCTACCTTCCCCCAGCCCCCCTACCTTCCCTCTGCCCCTAACCGCCCCCCTGCCCCCTACCTTCCCCTAGCCCCCTACCTTCCCCATGTCCCTACCTTCCCCCAGCCCCTACCTTCCCCAGCCCCCTACCTTCCCCCAGCCCCTACCGTCCCCCTGCCCCTACCTTCCCCCTGCCCCTACCTTCCCCCAGCCCCTACCGTCCCCCTGCCCCTACCTTCCCCCTGCCCCTACCTTCCCCTAGCCCCCTACCTTCCCACTGCCACTAACCGTCCCCCAGCCCCTACCTTCCCCTGCCCCCTACCTTCCCCATGTCCCTACCTTCCCCCAGCCCCTACCTTCCCCAGCCCCCTACCTTCCCCCAGCCCCCTACCTTCCCCTAGCCCCCTACCTTCCCCATGTCCCTACCTTCCCCCAGCCCCTACCTTCCCCAGCCCCCTACCTTCCCCCAGCCCCTACCGTCCCCCTGCCCCTACCTTCCCTCTGCCCCTACCGTCCCCCTGCCCCTACCTTCCCCCAGCCCCTACCTTCCCCCAGCCACCCTTTCTTCACCCTGCCCTTCTACCTTAGTGCATCTTTACCATTTAGCTGATAAAGGTTTAGACTGCCCTTAGAGCATGGTGGCGGGACAAGGTTCACTCCACTGCTCTGTTGACCTTTTCTGTTTAAGGCTTAATCACTGACAACTGCTTCCATTAATTAGACTTAGCCCACCAACTGCCTGGTTCTTGCCTAGACCTAGCGCTGCCACACACAGTATGCAGGCAGGTACAAACACTCACTCTCTTAACTCTTGCTTTAAAGCGTATATAACGTGTGGACATGTGTTTCTGTGTGTATGAGAGAGTGAGAGAGAAAGAGAGAAAGAGAGAAGAAGAGAGAGACAGAGAGAGATAGAGTAGATAGATAGAGAAGAGAAGAGAAATAGAGAGAAGAACAGAAATAGAGCGAGAGCAGAGAGAGAAGGAGAGAAGAAGAGAGAAGAGAGAGAGAGAGAGAGAGAGAAAGAAAGCGGATTACATAGCAGCAGCAGTATGGTTTGGTCATGATGCCTGGACCACCTGCAGGTTTCATCTATTGATTACTAACAACCCTAACAGTGAGCTGAGCTCCATGGAGAGAGGAGGAGTATGGAGAGAAATTAAAGCTTTATGGCTAGTAGAGAGAGAGAGAGAGAGCAGAGAGAAAGAGAAGAAAGAAAGCAAAGAGAGAGAGAGCGAGAACGAGAGAGAGAGACAGAGCGAGAAGAGAGAGATAAGATAGAGAGAGAGAAGCCCTACAGTACTTGAATCATACGATCTAGCGAGAAGTAGTACAGAAAGATGGGATTTTGTGGGATAAGTAGAAGACCAAAGGGAAGGATAGGAAAGTCAAGCCAAGTGCACAGGCCTCCAATAGTTTTTTTTAACATATATTTCTCGATAACAATTAGCTTTGACGAATTATTTCAATCAATGTACAAAGTTAATTTCTGGAAGATTTCGAAAAAGAAACCTCCATCTCAATACCGATTTTCAAATGTATAGAGCAATATGTTTTAACAGTCACTGTGTTACTCAGTCTTTCAGCAGTAAGCAGAGCTCCACATGTAGGACGCAAGGCTAGCCATAAAGCCATGTTTATTGGAGCTGGTCCTAATTATGAGGATGGAAGTCAGGGAAGACTGACACACACACAGGCAGGCTGCCACTTGAGGGCCACATCCTCCTCCTCCTCCTCCTCCTCCTCCTCCTCCTCCTCCTCCTCCACCTCCTCCTCCTCCACCCCCTCCTCCTCCTCCTCCTCCTCCCCCTCCTCCTCCTCCTCCTCCTCCTCCTCCTCCTCCTCCTCTCTTTTATGCTCCCTTGTTTTTTATTTCTTCTTCTCTTTCTGCAGTTCCATCAGCAGGATCAGTGGTGGTGGTGGTGGCAGGAGGCAGCAGTTCCATCAGCAGGGTCAGTGGTGGTGGCAGGAGGC